GAATCCAAGTAACGATGAAATCGATTTCACTATCAATGAGTCGACAAACCGTTTAACGCATGTTATTAAGGCCCACGCCATACAAACCTATATCTATTATTAATGGCATTTATTACTCGCTTAATATGAGCTTGTTGTAATATTAACCATTAATTATAGCTAACAGAATTTATTTTCAATAAAGTACCATTATTGATTAAACTACAGTATAAAAATCCATAATGGTTTTTAGTAATAAGCTTGGTTCTTGATTATTAAACTGCAATTCTTTTTATTTTGTTATTATAATTATTTTGCTTAGCAATTAATTTCAGATTTTCGCATTCGAGACAAGTTTATACGAAATAATGACAATCGAAAGATTGAATATCGATAGTCATAGGAATCAGTTACTAAACAGATTCGTCATAGATTAACAGTCACATCGATTGTCATTATTTTGTATAAACCAGTGACATTTGTGAAATTTATAAAATTAAAAATATAATAAATGAATACTCAGTTTCTAAGCACGTTATTCTATTGTCATATTTTGAAAGCTCAATTCAATCGCTAGATTTTCGATGCAACTACCAGATCATGACCATAATTAGCATGGTGATAGTTTATGCCTACTAGAAACATAATATAAAATCCTAGCTGCTAAATCCAAATGGTTGGCCAGTAATAGCTCATAATCAATGGCCCGAAAGCTTACGGATCACATCAAAAATAATTGAATAAATGTATCAATAAATTGAGCTAAGTTACCTTATACCGTATGACACTAGTAATTCACATAGAGATTAAGATAATGTATGATTTTAAAATAATTTAAACATAGCGTTTTAAAAATAAAAACAATTAGTATGCTGAATGAATTCTCTTTTAATTAAAATATAATACTAGTATATTAACAATAATAGATAATATTATATAATAAATTTATTTAATAGGGCGTTGGAGTTACATAAACTTGTCGAGCGCCATTCCAGTGGACACGATCAATGTTTTGTATCTAGGTCCCGTAAAACTACTACCCTGGCTAAGGTCGCATTTATCAGCGGCCTTTACCGATGCCCGTTCCTCAGCCAGTTCAGCTATGATCCGGAAATATGAGGTGTAGTCCGAGACAAATTTGCGAATTACGCCCTCGCTGAATATTTCACTTTGTTGCCTGTGATACTCTTTGAGCACACTAAATTGGACATGATTATTTTTAAAACAAATCAATTACTCTAAATTACAAATCAATATCCGTGTTTCTAGCTATATTTATGTGTGTATGATATAATACATGTGTATGTGCATGAACTTATATATGTGTATATGTATGTCTGTCTAATTGTCCTGGCATACTGTACGTTCATCTATTATCTCATTTGTTATATTACCATAGAATCGTTGGTAGATTGGCATTGGTGCCATTCTGAAGTGCTTCGTTAAGGACACCAAGGGCATTTCTGGCGATAATATTAGGATGGGCACTTCCGAGTTTAGAGTTAAACTCCTTGGCAATTGCCAATCGGTTGGGGTGTATGCACAGCGCGGGCGTCAACTTTGCTATAACGGGCGGAGTTGAGATAATCGAGACGGCATACCTGGGGTTAGGTTTCAATTTGGACAGCCAGCTAACAGACACGGCCACGTCCTTAGGCCTATAGGTTTATAATGTAATTCTTAAAATGAGATTCACGTTCATAAAACATCTGCGAGGGGTGTGGGGGTTAAACAAATTTAATTTCATGAATAATTTTTGAAACAAAAATTCATACTCAAAAGGAATGCACTTTTAACATAGTGTGGCATATTAGAGGTGGCAGCACTTTTAAAAATTATAACATTAGTAAGTATTGAAACTAATGAAATAATGTTTAAAAGTGCTGTCACTGAGAGTATGGGCATCACCTTCCCGCACAATATGACAGAACAATTGACCGAGATGTAAATGACACTCACATTTGCAAGTCAACTATGTTTAGACAAAATTTGGTCATTTCGTAGTCGGTCTCCGGGAGCGTGCGGTTAAAGTCGCCAAAGATTTCATATCTCGAAAGTGCATTCTCCGCCTCCTCTTCTGAATAGCCGGTGACGCCATCTATGACGGCTAGTTAAGTGAACACGTATTACAATATCATATCGGATACAAATACTTATTACTATTAATACCGAATACAGGTCCCGGAATGAAACGTACGGGATTGAACTGGGCGACCAAGGTATTACCGAATCCGCCCAGTTCCCAAGACCATGCCTCACCTTGACAATATAATGTTCAGGAGTGGGACAAATGAATTGTTAACATCATAATTATAAACTGATAAATAATATACTGTAATGTAAATGTAATTTAAAATGTAAAAACATTTTGTAAGATTACGATAAACAACTTACCCGACACAGATATTGTCAAAAGTATAATGCTAAGATAATTCATATTAACACCTTTCACTTTCCCGTAAGAATGGCTTTAATTTTTATATTAAAATTAAGGCTAAGTTTTATTTTTAAAACTATTAACAATATGGTTCACTCAGTAACAATATGGGAAGTGTATGCTTCAATAGTTGACGTTTTAAATGACGTTGATGTTTCAATAGTTGACGCTTGTATCACCAGTGTGATTATAAATTTATTGACGTGACTGATTAATGATCTTGAACAGATTTGAACAATTGAAATGATCGATGGGAAGTGTATGCTTCAAAAGTTGACGTTTTAAATGTATACATCACCAATGTGATTATATAGTGATAATTGTATTGACGGGACTGATTAATGATGTTGAACAAATGGTCGATATGTTTATATACGGACATTTGCTCTATCACAAAGTAACCTTGCACAATTCACTCTCACTCTCAGATGTCTCCAATTGAGAATATTCTTATCAAAGTTTGAAAATGAATATTTTTAGTTATATAAATTTTACAACTACTAAAATCTGAAATTAATTGTTAAGCAAAATAATTATAATAAAAGAATAAAAAGAATTACAATTTTATAATAAACAAATTTGCATATCACTAGAAACCATAATGGATAAATATAGTTTTACTGTAGTTTAATCAAATGTCCATTAGTTAACAATGGTATTTTATTTAAAATAAATTCTGTTAGATATAATTTTGGTTAATATTACAACAAGCTTATATTAAGCGAGTAATAAATGCCATTAATAATAGATATAGGTTTGTATGGCGTGGGCCTTAATAACATGCGTTAAACGGTTTGTCGACTCATTGATAGTGAAATCGATTTCATCGTTACTTGGATTCAAAATAATGACAACAACTCCGCCGTCGGGTCTCTCGAAAGCAATGGTCAGCACTTTGTCCACCGGTTTATCCTCCCGGAGCTCCAGTCTCACGGAATCGGGTGAAACAAATTTACTGAAGTGTCCCAAACCATAAAAGCTTGGATTCTTGTAGTACTCCTGTCCCGTGGCGTTCACTATAATGGGTGCGCCCGCCTTCCCGCACCAATCGGGTCCACCCGTCAGATTAAGCGCCATATTCCAGTGCACCCACCCATTGGTCCAGTGGTTTAAATCCTTATGAATCAAATTGTGGATTATTTGTGATAAGGATATATCATAAAATATTTGATAAATTCATACAATTATGATATCTTTGGAGAAGTCCTCTAAGAAGGGCCAGAATCCAAGTGTCGGCACATTATGCGAGGCCTCTGTGTTCAGTATATAACGGTTCGGATCTATTTCGTGAGTCTTGTCTAAATTGACCACATTTTCCGGTTTGTTGGCATAGAAATGAAACGCCGTTCCCGACACGTATTTGGCCGCATCCTTGTCTTTAAGTATAGTGTCGGCCCACAAATGGACTTTATTTCTCTGGTCGTCGCATATCATGACATCCAGTTTGTCGCGACCATAACCGGCCGCCTCTAGTATAGGCCCCAANCTTTTGACAATATCTGTGTCGGGTAAGTTGTTTATCGTAATCTTACAAAATGTTTTTACATTTTAAATTACATTTACATTACAGTATATTATTTATCAGTTTATAATTATGATGTTAACAATTCATTTGTCCCACTCCTGAACATTATATTGTCAAGGTGAGGCATGGTCTTGGGAACTGGGCGGATTCGGTAATACCTTGGTCGCCCAGTTCAATCCCGTACGTTTCATTCCGGGACCTGTATTCGGTATTAATAGTAATAAGTATTTGTATCCGATATGATATTGTAATACGTGTTCACTTAACTAGCCGTCATAGATGGCGTCACCGGCTATTCAGAAGAGGAGGCGGAGAATGCACTTTCGAGATATGAAATCTTTGGCGACTTTAACCGCACGCTCCCGGAGACCGACTATTTCTCGGACAGAGGTTTGGAGTATAACTTGAATCGCGTGCCGATCGGCGGATCGGACTTCTCGACCCACCCCTACAGCTATGATGACGACCATAAGGGGGACTTTGAGCTCAAATATTGGAATCTGACAGCAGATGACCACAACTATAAGGTTTGCATAACAAACATATGGATCACACAAACACTATATCTGTTTTTGGATATATAAGGCCAGGCTACGGGTTACCGAATATTTGGTACTTTTTGTAAGATTGTTACATAGATTTGTATAAAATAAATCTTATAACAAATACCAAATGTCCGGTAATCCATAGGTCTGAGTTTATATACTCACAACAGATATTAATATTTATATCAAAACAGATCCCATATATGAAGGCCGCACTCCAAGTGAGTCCATACAAGAATAAAGTAAAGTTCTTTGGGAGTCCGTGGTCTGCACCGGCCTGGATGAAAAATAATAGTCAACTCAATCACGGTGGCTACCTTATTGGGGAGCCGGGAGGGGCTTACTATAAAACATATGCCAACTATTTTGTGAAGTAATATTTAATCTTTATAAATTTTTAAGTATAATTGTATTGATTCAAATTCAGGTTCTTAGACGCCTATAAACAAAACGACCTAAACATATGGGGCATAACCATACAAAACGAACCGGGAGCCGGATCTCATCCCGACTACAGCTTTAATAGTATGGGATTTACGCCGGAATTGCAGAGGGATTTCCTGAAGAAGGATTTGGGGCCTATACTCGAGGCGGCCGGTTATGGTCGCGACAAACTGGATGTCATGATATGCGACGACCAGAGAAATAAAGTCCATTTGTGGGCCGACACTATACTTAAGGACAAGGATGCGGCCAAATACGTGTCGGGAACGGCGTTTCATTTCTATTCAAACAAACCTGAAAATGTGGGCAATTTAGACAAAACCCACGAAATAGATCCGAACCGTTATATACTGAACACAGAGGCCTCGCATAATGTGCCGACACTTGGATTCTGGCCCTTCTTAGAGGACTTCTCCAAAGATATCATAATTGTATGAATTTATTAACTCTGTTATTAGAAATCAATGTTAAACTAATCGAATACCGAAAATTTGGTACTTTTTGTAAGAAATTTAACATAGATTTGTATACTTACAAAAAGTACCAAATTTTCAGTATTCCCTAAGAATACCATTGATTTCCAATAACAGAAATATTTTACATCCATATAACAAATAATTCATGCGTTGATTCATAAGGATCTAAACCACTGGACCAATGGGTGGGTGCACTGGAATATGGCGTTGAATCTGACGGGTGGACCCGATTGGTCGGGCTCTGCGGGCGCACCCATTATAGTGAACGCCACGGGACAGGAATACTACAAGAACCCAGACTTCTATGGTATGGCGCACTTCAGTAAATTTGTTTCACCCGATTCCGTGAGACTGGAGCTCCGGGAGGATAAACCGGTGGACAAAGTGTTGACCATTGCTTTCGAGAGACCCGACGGCGGAGTTGTTGTCATTATTTTGAATCCAAGTAACGATGAAATCGATTTCACTATCAATGAGTCGACAAACCGTTTAACGCATGTTATTAAGGCCCACGC